TTTTTTAATGTATGCATGTTGAGGCCCAAGGTGGTAGCCTAGTGGCTAAAGTCCTCGCTTTGCATTCACTGGGATTCCTTAGGGACGCCGGTTCTAATCCCAGTAGCTCCACTTCCCATCCAGCTCCCTGCCTGTGACCTAGGAAAGCAGTGGAGGACGGCCTAAAGCCTTGGGACCCTGCACCCATGTGGGAGACCTGGAAGAAGCTCCTGGCTCCTGGCATCACATCGGTTCAGTTCCGGCTGTTGCAACCACTTGGGGAGTGAATCAGCGGATAGATCTTTCCGTCTGTCTCTCCTGTGTACATCTGCCTTTCCAATAAAAATAAATAAATAAATAACTCTTTTTAAAATGTATGCATTTTTTAGAAAGCAGGTGTGTACATTCTGGGGGTCTTAATATCTAGGGTCATAAAATGCTTTCCAGAAACGTTCACACTCACTTCCATGCCTCCTGGTAACCCCCATTCTCATACCAGGTGTAGCCTCTAACAGGGATGGACACAGGGCTCCAGGCTTGCCTGCGGCCAAGGGAAAAACCCCACACAGTTCCCAGAGCCACACACTGGCAGCGGCTCCCAAAGGAGTCCACGGAGTGCTGAGCTCAGCAACTCCTGCCTGACTCGCGGGAGGGTCCATGCTGTGCAAGGTCAGCCCTTTTTGGACGCTGGTGTCCTTCACTCCGGTCACACCGAAAGGAAGTCGGGTCACACAGATTCTGAGCAATGAGCAGCCTGGCGGGAAAGTCCCCACCCTTTGGCATGAAAGGGCACAATGAACCCAGAGAGCAAATCCTTGCAGCAGCACCTTACCCAGCCCCAGCACCTCGCCAACCAGTACAGGTCACAGGTGCACCTGCAGCAGTAAGACAGGTGGGCACAGGGGGGTGGGCTCTCATTCCTGGTTCATGAGCATCTCGTGCCACAGAGCTTGGCCACCAAGCATGCCCGACCAAGGCCCAGCGAGAGCACACGCAGGTCAGATTCACCATGGGCAAGGAGGCCCCCACTGTCCCATCCAGGCAGGACTGACTGCTGCCTCTTGGGTGGCCTGCCCACTTCTCTGTGCCTCTCAATCTTTCTCCACAGAAAGCAGATGTAGGGGCTGGCGACATGACAGAACAGGTACACCCGCCACCTGTAATGCCAGCATCCTTCCGGGGCACTGGTTTGAGTCCTGGATGCTTCAATTTTGGCTGGCCCAGCTCCCTACTAATGCACCTGGGAAAGCAACAGAGGATGGCTCGAGTCCTTGGGGCTTTATTACCCACACGGAAGACGCAGAGGAAGCTCCTACTCCTGACTTCAGCCTGGCCAGCCCAGGCAGCCACCTGGGGAATGAACCAGCAGATGGACTCTGTGTCTCTCTCCCTCTATATATAACTCTAACTTTCAAATAAGTCAAACTTCAAAAAAAAATGCAAATGTAATTCTTCCCAACAATTGGGTCCAAAGCCCAAGGCTCACTCGGATTGGACGATTAGGATCTCGTTCTGAACCTGTGTGGCTGAGGGGCAGGAGAGGCTGGGGCACAGATGAGTCACGCCAGAGAAATGGTGTCCTCACCCGAGTCTCGTCCCCACACTGTCAGTTTGGGAGCCTGGGGCCCTGCAGTGGCCCTTTACCAGCTGGGACTCTGGGCTGTGGAGGACAGAACGCACAGGCCGCTGCAGCTGAGGCCGGGAGGGAAGTGGGGGAGGGGGCCCACCATCTGTGTAGTCACACCAGCAGCTTCCATCCCTTCACAACACCCCCAAAGGGGCTGGCACACACAAACACCACGATGTCACCAGGCAATGAAAGCTCAGGGGACCACCGTCCCCACACACAGTCCACTGGGCATGGGGGGACTGTCCCCACAGTATCCGGGGATCTGCTCACAGGCATAGCTGGTCACGAGTGCTCCAGCAGCAGCCTGAAAAACCGGGGTCCCCACTCAGCTCTGCTTCTCTGCGAACAGCTTGGAGCTCAGCCCGAGGGAAGCAAGTCATGCATGGCCTCTTGCCAGCAGCCCTAATGTCCCAAGGCATGGCCTGACTGGGTCATGCGCCTACTCAGGCTGGAGACGGCCTCGAGGCACCTCAGCAAAGGGCTAGGAGGAGCCACCTGTTCTGCGCCCGGGTCTTGCCTGCCAGTGGGAGAGGGATTCTGCAGGCGCCTGCTGGGGAGAGTTAAGGCTTAGGGGCTGAAGGGATGGCTGCAGGGGCCAGCACCACCGCTCGCTGCCCAGTAGCTTCTGGACTCCTCGCTGGTGGCTCTTTGTAAGCGCACCTGGTTCTTGTTGCCATGGGCAGCAGCCCCATGCACGCCGCCTCCTGGCCGTGATCGATATTGCATGGTAGACACGGGGCCACCAGGCACCAGGCCACCGGTGCACATTAAGCACGGGACCACATAGCCTCTCCCATCGCCTCTCTGAACCCCAGCCAGGCACTGCGAGCAAAACTGAGGGGTCCAGGGAGGAGGGGCCCTGGGGACAGCTTCGCCCACTCCCTGTCAAAAAGGGCTTGGTGGCACCAGCAGCCAGACTGCCAGCATGAACCACACCTGTGTCAGAGCTTGAGCTGAAAGGCATGGGGGCGCTAGCCCAGGTGGGAGCTTAGGAGAAGGCAGACCTGTGGGACAACAGGCTGAGGAGGGGCCCAGGATGTCCACTCCTTAAAGCAGTCCCCACCAGGAGTAGACAGCGAGGGTGGGGAGGAGGCTCCCTAGGGAGCAGGGCTGACTGACACTGAGGACCCATGCTTGTGGCCCACAGGAGGCCTTCTTTTTTTTATATATATTTAAAAAATTTTTGTTTATATAGATTTATTTATTTATTGGAAAGTCAGATATACAGAGAAGAGGAGAGACAGAGAGGAAGATCTTCCGTCCAATGATTCACTCCCCAAGTGAGCGCAATGGCCAGTACTGCACTGATCCGAGGCCAGATCCAGACTTCTTCCAGGTCTCCCACACGGGTGCAGGGTCCCAAGGTCCTGGGCTGTCCTCTACTGCTTTCCTAGGCCACAAGCAGGGAGCTGGATGGGAAGTGGAGCTACTGGGATTAGAACTGGCGCCCATATGGGATCTGGCGCGTTCAAGGCGAGGACTTTAGCCACTAGGCCACTGCGTCCGTCCCCACAGGAGGTCTTGCAGCAATAGATTAAATGACAAATCCTGGGGGCCCTGGATCTGCGAAGGCTCGGGAGAGCTGGATCCTGGGGAGCCCAGGTATAGCTGCAACCCAGGGGAGGCCAAGACCACACAGGAGTCCCCCCTCCCTCCCGCTCCCCACAGGCTGCAGCTCTGGAAGGCCTAGGGTCTCCCCTCCGGGAAAAGACCAGGAGCTGGCACCATAGCATCCCATATGGACACTGATTCAGGTCCCAGCTGCTCCACTTCCAGTCCACCTCCCTGCTAATGTGCCTGGGAAATCAAGGAAAGAACGCCTAAGGGCTCAGCCCCTGGTACCCACGTGGGCAACCCAGAAGAAACCCCTGGCTCCTGGCACAGCCCCGAGCATTGTGGCCATTGGACAGAAGATTCTCTTGAATGAGTAAATCTTAGAAAGGAAGAAAGAGGGAGCAGGCAGGCCACGGGAACCGGGAGGCCCGGGAAATGGCCACCGGCTCTCAGAGTGGGGCGGGAGGAATGCTGCCCGGGAGGAGGGCTGAGGCTCCGAGCTCCCGGCACGGAGAAGCCAGGGCGACCTCCTGCAGTTACCCTGTGTCCACCAGAGGGCACCCGTTCCTCGCACATCTTGGAAGATTCGCGAGCCCCGGGCGCCCTTCCAAACTGGACTCGGGCTCTGTCCTCGCCCGGCGGAGGCGGTTCAGGAGACGGGGAAGGTGACCCCGAGCCCTCGGGGCAGGTCTCTAGGCGGGGGAGGGGGATCGTGTGCCAGGCTCAGGACTGGGGCAAAGTGTGTTCTGCCGGGGCAGCGAGGCCTGTGCAGGCTGGGTGGGGGTTGGCACGGGCTCAGCAGCGTCAGGGCATCCAGGGGCCCCAGCCCGGCAGCCCCGGACCTTCAAGTTTGCAGAGTGGGAGACGCAGGCCCAGCCAGATTCATCCCCTCGTCCCGGTTTGATGCATCTGCCTCGTCCGAGCCTGCCGGCTGAGCCTCTGACCTCTTTCCTGGGGAGTGGGCCGAGGCAGGGCTGCAGCCCGAGGGTCAGAGGTGGGTCCTTCACCGGCCGCAGACCTGCCCTACCTTGGATGTGCCAGGTTGCAGGGGAGGGGGCTGGGTGCCCAGTATGTCCCAGGTCCTAGAGACCCTCTCAGAACTGATAGCAACTTCAGGGTGGGGAGAGGATCCCAGCCCTCCCCCAGCCTTGCCCTCAGCAGCCCCCTTGCCAGCCTCTGGCCCCCGAGTGCCCCCGCACCAGGGAAGCCCTCCCCGCTCCCACAGCCCAAGGGCAGTGGCCGACACCTGCTGCTGCCACAGGCACTTGGAGAGGAGCCCATGGGGCGACGGGAAGGGCTGGAGCCGGGGTCTGTCCCCGTCCCCTCCCCCTGCCACAGCCCACTATGTAGACGATTGTGGGGGACAGGCACCAACACTGCTCCTGCTGTGGGCAACACTTGAGGGCAAGCAGCAAGGGCCCCACGCACACCCTCACACGCCCTTCTGGCCTAACGGGGTTCCCAGGAACCCGAGGCCTGCCTGCTCCAGGGACCCCAAGGGCTCCCATCACCTGCAGGGCCTTGAACCAGAGGCTCCCCGTCCCCAAGACCTCTGCACGCCCACAGGCCGTGGGGCTAGCTTCCCCACCCAGGGGCCCAGCTCGGCGTGGACGTGCAGGCCAGCTCCTAGTGTCCCTGGGAACCAGCCGGCGCGCCACCAGGGGGCACCACAGGAAGAGGCCACCAGCCACCCAGCACTGCAGGGACCTCCAGCCAGGGTCCCCCAAGCCCGAGAGCCCCCAAAGCCCAGGATAAGGGTCCTCCAAGCCCGAGACCCCACTGCAGCCCCCCCAGGACCAACGCCATCACACACACAGAAAGTACAGGCCCACGCAGCTTTGTTAGAACAACTCAGCAAAATAAAATTCCGGTTTATTGTTGGACAACATTGTTTCACACATACATCAAACAGGCCAAAAAAAATAAACAGCAACTTCATAGACAAAAAAAGGAAAAAAAGAAACCTTTATCTTTGGCCTTTTTAACCATCTCATACAAACCAACTACTTATAGTACAGCTAAGTACATACACAACGAAAGTTACTGGAATGCTCGGAATAAGATTGTTTTTTTGTCGTGGTTTTTGCTTTTTTTACAAGGTTTGCTTTCTCCTTTGAGATCAGGATGGACATGGTCACACCACAAGTAAAGGTGGGAGGACAGAACGCTCGAGGCTGGGCTGGTCATCCCCAGGTTAAAAATGGCTGACCCCTAACAATATGTACAAAAATATAAAATGTAAATAAAAAATACAAACAAATTTTCCTTTTTAAAGTACTTTTAAGAAAAAAAGCAGGGCCTGGACGTTTTGGTTCGTTTGCCCCCGTGTCGGCGAATTCGCGTGGGTCTGTGGTGGGGTGCGGGGCGCTGCCCGGGCGGGCGGCCTCTCTACTCGCAGGTGACCACGTGGGGATTGCGCGGGAAGGAGGTGCGGGCGGGCGTCCCGCGCCTAGTCGTCCTCGTCGGTCTTCTGCTTCTTGGTGTCCACCTCGTCGTCCTGGGCAGAGGAGAGGCTCAGCCGCCGGCCCCGCACAGCCCGCCCCGCACAGCCCGGCCCCGCACAGCCCGGCCCCGCACAGCCCAGCCCCGCACGGCCCGGCCCCGCACCCACCTCGTCGTCCTCGGCTGCCCGCTTGCCCGTCGCGGCCTCGGCCTCCTCGTCCTCGTCGCCGTCCTCCTCCTCCCCTGCGAGCGGAGGCACGCGGTGACCGCACGGCGCTGACCCGCCCGCCCGCCCGCCCCAGGCCCCGGGCGGCCACTCACCGTCGCCCTCTTCCTCCTCCTCCTCTTCCTCGCCGCCTTCCTCCTCCTCCTCGTCTACCTCGTTGTCGGCCTCCTGCTCCCCGTTCTCCTCATTCTGGGGTGCAGGGGGGCGTCAGCTGGGCCCTGCTCTCCCGCCCCTCGCCCCCCGGCCCGCCCGGCCGACCCCCGGCCCACCCCCCGCGCACTCACCGCGTTGCCGTTGGCGGGAGCGTCTCTCCCGTTCTCGGCCTCCTCCACCACCTCCTTCTTCTCCTTCAGGTCCTGCGGCAGAGCGCCGGGGTGAGCGGCGGGCCCCGCGCCCCCGACACCTGCCGCTCCCGCCCCGCAGCCCGCGCGCACACTGTCGCCCCCTGGCGGCGGAGCCCGGCGCGCGGTGGGGGCGGGGAGGCCGCGGCGCGCAGGCGCAGTCCCCCTCCCGCCGGCGCCCTCGGCGGGGCCTCGGCCCGCACCGCGCAGCGAGCACGTGGCCCGGCGGCCGGGCACCCCGCGCACCCGGGCCCCGCACCAAGCCCGCGGCCCGCGTGGAGCACGCCGAGTCCCGCGGGAGGCCGCGCCGGCGCCCCGAGCGCCCCCCACGCGCCCGCCCGGCACGCGCCCGCCGCCCCCCGCGCCCAGCCGGCCGCCCTCCCCAGGCCGGACTCCCGGGCGCTGGCCCCGCGGGGGCGCCGAGCCCGGCCGGGCCGCTCGGGCGCGCGGGAGGCGCTCCGCCGGGAAGGGCGCGCCGGGGCCACCTGGCTAAGGAGACGCCAAGGTGACACGCGCCGATGCCCGCAGGGGCGCCGGCCGGGCTGCGGGTGCAGGGGGAGACGGCGCAGCCCGAGGCGCCCCGGCGCGGGACCCCGGCCCGCCCGCGCTCCGCCCGCAGCCGAGCCCTTCGCACCTCGGAGGCCGGGGGCCGGGCGCCCTATCAGCGCGGCCTCAGATAAGCCGCCAGCGCCGCCCGTGCGCGCCAAGCCCGGCGTCCCGGCGCCTAACAAAGAGCGCCGCCGCCGCCTCCCGCAGCCGGCCCGCGCCCGCACACGCGCCCCGGCACTTCCGATCCCCCACGCGCTCCACTTGCAAAGTTATTTCCGTGCGCCCGGAGAGCCGCCGGCCCCGCGGCCCCGGACCGCCCCGCGCACGCCGCCCGCCCAGCGAGTCGCAAACAACTTCCGAGGGCTGCGGGACCCGGCGCCTGCCGCCCGCGCGAGTGCCCCCTCGGCCTCCCGTGCCAAGCGGCCGCCTGGCGCCCACACCTCCCGGGCCCCGCCGTCCCCTCCCCCGCGCACCCCAACAAAGGAGCGGGTGCCCCGCGCCGCTCCCCGCTGCCCCGTGGGGGGAGCAGTCCCGCCGCCGGGAGCCCGACCCGGGGGCCCCCCGAGCCTCACCTTGGTGGTGATCTCGGAGCTGGTGTCCACGGCCGCGTCGGACATGGTGGAACGCGCCGGAGAGCGGATGCAGCGCACTTGGAGAGAAAAGCGCGAGTTCGGGGACTCTGGCGCGAGAGCTGCCGGAGCGGGCGGCGGAGAGCGAGGCGGGCGGCGGAGGCTGCGGCGCGGGGGAAGCGGAGCCCGGGAACAATGCAAAGATGGCTTTTCCGAGCCGCCAGTGGGGGACTCACGCGGCGCCGGGACCTTTCATATAGACTAGTGGGCGGAGCTCGCGCTCCGGGGCGCGGACCCCATTGGCTCCGCGCGGGGAGCGGGCGTTCGCTCATTGGCTCCAATCCGAACAATGGGCAAGCGTGCTTAAAGCGCCAGTGCCTCGGCGCGGCCCGCGCTGCGCAGTCGCCGGCCTCCCTGTCATTCAGAGCCCCGGGGTCCGCGGCGGCCCGGCGTGGGGGAGGCGGACGCGCGCCCCCGCCGCGCGCTCCCGGGGCGCGCCCCCGCCGCCTGGCCGCGGCTGCTGACGCAGGAAGCCCGAGCGCGCCAAAGCCGCCCGCCCAGCCCCCCGCCGCTCGGAAGGCGGGAGGGGGAGGGGAGCGGCGGCCGGGCTCGACGAGACGCCCGCCCCGCACCCCGCCATCCCGGGCCCCAGCTCCCGCAGACGGGACGCGCCACGGCGAGCGGCGGGGTCACGAGGCCGAGACCCACGCACCCGGGGCGCGCCGTCCTCGCCTCACGTTCCTCACACGCACAACCATAACACTCCCGGGCGCGGGTGTCCCGAGGTTGCGGGACGAGGACCGCGTCGCCCACCGCAAGTGCTAGCGCCCGCCGCCCTCGTCAGCCGACGAGTGGGCTCGGGAACGGACGCACCCCGGGGGCTCGGGGCCCGGTGCGGGATCCGAGCCTCGAGCGGACGGCCCGGCTTCGCCCCGCACACGGTCCGCCCGCCGCACAGCTGGGCTCCGCGGCCGTCGCGTGAGCCCCGCGGCGATCACCTCAGGGTCCCGCCCGACCCTCGGGGCTGCCCCCGCCCGACCGCTTCGGGGCTGCGAGGAAAACAAGAGCGTCGCGGGGCGCGGGAAGGACAGTCGTCCGTTAGGCTAGTCGGGCTAGTCCCTGGGGGTGCTCTTTGGGGCGCTGTTCAAGGGGCCATGTGGAGCCCCGACCCAACGTTTAGCCACACTCAAGATGGCGCCGAGCTCTGCAAGCGTGGCGTGACGTGGCGTTCCAATCCACGCATACGACCCGAAAACCGAAAAACACCCACTCTTTATCGCCACCGCAATTGACTATCGAGCTAAGAACTCTGCTCTGTGGAAGCAAACACTGGAATAGGTGGAATGCTAGTCAAGAAAAACGACCTGTGCCACACACAAGATGGCGACAGATGGCGTTCGTCCGTGTGTTGCCAGAAGGGGGCGCCCGACACGGTAGGCGGGACTCCGGATGAACGAGCGCTCATTGGCTGAGAGTGGCGGGCGAACACAAAGTTGACGCTTTGCGTCCAGCCATTGGCGGATGCCGCCGTCTGTCTCCTGGGCCGCCTGATCTGGGAGTCGGGAAAACCCGGAGTCAGGGTTCGGGGATAGAGGACGTTTGCCAAGTTGAGCAGAGCTTGAAGTCGGGGCGAGATGAGGAACTGAATCGCCCTTCTCTGTTCCCTAGGGTCTTTAACCCGCTCGTCCATCCCCACCGCGAGGTCTCCTTGGCTGAAGGGCCCGCGGGAGGGAGGGACGCCACCGGGCTCATCCCCCCCCCGCTCCCCTGTCCCGCGCGCGTCAGTCCCGCATCCTTTGCTCTGTTAGGTCCATCTGGCTGCTGGCCCGTGGGGTTCTCCCTGGGACGGGGGCTGAGACTTGTCCTTTGGGGAGATGCCCAGGCTCGCGGGGCGCCGCGCCCCCTTCCCGCTGCACCGGGCGCCCTCTGCACCCGGCGAGCCGGTTGGCTGAGCGGACGCCCGCGGGGGTCTCAGCCCTGTCCCGAGGGGCCTCCTTGGCTGGAGCTGGGATTCTGCTCTAGGGGGGCGCGCGCCAGCCCCTGGGGACGCTCGCCGTGAGGCCGCCGAGCACCACGCGCCCGACTCTTTGTTCGGCCCCCGCCCCGCCCGCCGTCGGCGGCCTCACTGCCGCGCCCAGCCGGGGCCGCCGTTTCCAGATGGGGAGAAAGGGCCCCGGAGCGGGGGCGGCTTCTCCCCGCGCTGCCTCCACGCAGCCCCAGTTCCTCGCCGAGGCATCGTGGGGTTCCCAGGACCCCCCACACGCGTGCGGTGAGAGCGTGCCCTGCGCCAAGTCTCAGCCATCGAGGCTTCCTCCCACGCTTGGGGGTTGTTTGGACTGCGACAAACAACGTGACTGCCCTGGATCTTGGGGGTGGGGGGATGTGAATTTCCCTCGAAGAACTGCTTTGCCTGACGTTGCCCATGAACCTAGCTTTGCTCTAAATAAATAAGTGAATTAATAAATAAGGGGGGAGACGCAGAAAGCTCAAGCCCACTCCGTTGCAGGAACACCTAGCATTCCCTGGCCATGACCCTGCACTCATACTTGGAGTCTTCTCGATTATTCTTGTGACATAGGTCGGAGCATGACGGGGTTGGATGGCAGCAAACAGACGTTTCTGTATGTGAAAATCACATTCGGGTTTCCATCTCTTACCACCGCGTTTATAAATGGAAAAAGTAGACGTGACTATGGCAAGGGACTTGGGGGTTGGAGGGCTACAGCCCTCGAATGGAGAGATCTGCACGGGTCGCTGGAGCCAGAGTGGACACCAGCTCCCTGGGTCTCTTACTCACTCGCGGGGAGTGTGCTTTCTGGGACCCAGGAGTGGTAACTCCTGCCTGGCAGCTGCTGAAGGGGCAGTCCGTCCAGTTACTTCCACTCCCGGGAGGCGTCTCTGCTGTGTCACAGGTCAAGGAGCCTGCGTAGCTTTGTCCTTCAGAACCTCTCAGGACTGGCCTTCGAGCCTCGGGGGCCCTCGTTTTCTCAGCTGGCCCAGTGCCCAGCCGTGGGTGTGCAGGAACTTAGAGTTGCCCCTGCACCGCAGCCTGCAGACCCTGCCCGATCCAGACCCTTTTAGTTCATCTGCCACTACCTCGTGGACACTCAGATTTACAACCTGAGCCTCATTGCTTATCTCACACACAAAACCAGCAGAACAGCCAGGGTTTCAATCCCAGCCCTAATTGAACTACAAAATATATATATATACTAAAAAAAAAAAAAAAAAAAAAAGAATCCCAGCCCTGCCAGAGCCACAGGTAAGCTAATCTCCTAGCAGGACCTCCTCTGCACCGCTGTGATGGGCATGAATGGGTTAAGGAAACACTTAAAATCGCGGCGGGCACGTCCAGGAAAGCCGTCGTCCAGCGGGGGGCGGGGGTGGGGTGGTGGCTGTGCTAGCCGCTTTTCCTGTGCAAGGTCTACAGCGGGTTCTTGCCCTGCTCAGAGGCAATAGAGGGCGCTGGCCTCATGGAGTTTCTGGAAGCCTACGATTGGTGCCCACCATGTCTGGCAGCCCCTCTGGCCTCAGCTGGAGCGGAGCCGGCCTCCAAAACTCCCGCCTTTCCGCCCTACAAACCCCAGAGTTTCAGGCGGGCGGGTGTAAGAGCAATTGTGTAAGAGCCATTCTCTGCCTCCACCCCCCACCACCACCTTCCCTCCAGCACGTCCGGGCCTGCCTGTTCTCCCAGAGAGTTGGGCCAGAAGCCCGCTCCTGGTCCCCACACAGGTCTGGCCCCAGCTGGAGGCGCCTGCCTAGCCTGCAGAGGGTGAGGGCCGGCTCTGACTGTCCAAGTTGATGCCAAGGCTGGTGGCCCCCCGGGGGGTGCTAGCCAGGGAAGGTGAGTGGGACCCCTTTGGCAGCTATGCAAGTTGTTTGTGCCTGTGCCACCGGCTGGCTCTGTCTCCTGCACCCCTCTGCACGGCTGCACCCAGGGCATGGTTTAAGCTTTGTGGGGGGGAGTTTGGCTGAAACTTGGTCCCGCAGTGGAGGAACCAACGGACCCTCGGCCAACAGGGACACATTGGTCACTCCGATCCAGTCCTTACTTGTGCTGGGAAGAACGGTGCCTCTGAAGGAATCTGCCACCGCAGCCAAGAAGGGTCCTTGTGGCCTCCAGGCAGATGCTGCCGGCTCTGCCCTGGGACCCCCCGGGGGTGGAGCCGGGAGGCCCCCAAGCATTTGGCCTGCACATGGCACAGCAGAAGGATTGAGGGCTTAGCCAGATCAGAGAGAGCTGGGCGACCTCAGACCTCCCACGTGCTCCGGGGGCCTGCAGCTGCCCCCGGGAGGTTGGCTGCAGCCTCACTGCAGGGAAACCGCTTGTGTAGGAAAATCCCCAACAGCACGCAGCTTCACCCCAGAATCCAATCTCCCCTGGCTGGCCCCTGCAAGGCAGGCACTGTGCAGGTACGTGTGGCCCTGGTGGGGTGGCTCATCCTCGGAGATGGGAAAGCTGGCACTCCCACACCCGAGGAAAGGCTGCCCCGGGGTTTCCCCAGGGAGCACTGCTGATCTCACAGGCAGTTGGGACTAGGCCCCGACACTGGAACCCTCATGCAGATTTTGACCTGGCTGTGTTAGGATGCTCCAAGTGTTAGTGCAAGGCCCTAGTCACTCACTGGGGACAGCTCTGCCCCCAACTCCAACTTCCTAGCCTGCGCACCCTGGAAGCAGCAGGTGGTGGCCCAAGTAGCCCAACTATTACACTCGTTTAGGCAGTGTCCCAGCAGACGGGAGGGTCTCTCTCTGCCTTTCTAATCTATTTTAAGCATTTAAATTTTAGTTAGGGTCCAGCACAGTAGCCTAGTGGCTAGAGTCCTCGCCTTGAATGTGCCCTGGATCCCATATGGACACCAGTTCTGTCCTGGTGGCCCCACTTCCCATCCAGCTCCCTGCTTGTGGTCTGGGAAAGCAGTCAAGGACGGCCCAAAACCTTAGGACCCTGCACCTGCGTGGGAGACCTGGAAGAGGCTCCTGACTCCTGGCTTCAGATTGGCTCAACACTGGCTGTTGCGGTCACATGGGGCGTGAATCAGTGGATGGAGGATCTTCCTCTCTGTCTCTCCTCCTTTCTGTGTACCTGCCTTTTCAGTAAAAATGAATCTTTAAAAAATATTTTTTAGCTTTTAAAAATATATCAATTATTAGCGCCAGGAGAAGAGAAAAAAATGGACATAGCTCCATCCATT